CTGAAGCTAGAAAGGTTAGTGTTCTGTCACAGGTTTGTGCACATTTTTGGACTTGATGTCAGATTGCTTTCCCCTCATCGGTGTCCCGCTCACATAGGGATTGCCCACTGTGTCCAAAGGAGACAGCAGAGGGACACTGCAGGTGATGGTGAAGAAGATAGTAGAGGAGCCAGTGAATGAACCTGGGCTGTTATAGTCTGTTATTTGAACCAGTGATGACGTGGTCTGTGAGGTATTGCTAAGGGAGCACAGCTTTGGGTCTGTTGCAAGTCCTGATGCTTCGATGAGAATAAGAGTTAGGTAGCCTGCTGCTTGAGAGATACCGTTTGAGGTTGTGGGGGCTGACTGCAAGCCAGGACAAGTTTTTCCCCCCCATGGCCACCTTGAGATGGTCGTCATTTTCCAGGATGGGATTGGAGGTAGTGGTGTCAAGCTGGGAGCTAAGTGACAACCAGAAGCAGTCTGCTGGTCTTGTCTTGGGGTTGGTATTGTAGCAGGTTGGAGTGGGGTCTGTGACTGTTTCTTTTGCAGACAGGTGGCTACAGGTTTGGGCTTGTATTGTACGCATAGGAATCCCTGCTCCAGATCTTGCATCCCAGTCACTGGGACCACCTGTTTATTGTGCTAGCTTGTAGCTTCTGTGTCTAACTGGTCCCACGTAATAAATAGGGAGCCCTGAGGCCTGCCCTGAATGTTTGTTATGATTTCCATTAGAGAGCTAGAGGCCCCCCAAAAGTGGTGAGATGTCCAAATCCTTTTCTGGACTAGCACATGCATTCCACACCTCGGTCGCTCCATATCCATGACTGGCCCTTTGACACCAGGGGGGGGGTGTTCCTGAGTTGATCACAGTATCATATCCATGCCTAAGATCACTGGAGTGGAAAGAGGAGTCATAGCAGGGAAATTAATTAAGTTTTTAAGAAAGAAAAAACAAAACCACTGAGCCTCCACACTAAGAGTGTGCGCATTACTCTGTTCTCCCTGAACCCTGCTCCCCACAGAGGGGTTTTTTGTACCAGTATAATGATTTCAATTAAGTGGATGCCATTTTTCATACTAAAATAGTGGTACTGGTACAAGCTCTAGTGTGGTCACAGTTGTAACAGCATAGCTTGTCCTCCTCATATGGAAATCTGTTACCTTGCCTCCCAGCTTGGGGTGGGGAGGGAGGTAGCAGTGAGGAATATACTGCTCTATCTGTACCAATTCAGTTAACCCACTGCCATTATGTGTGTGGCCAAGGCAACTGCAACAGAGTGCAAGGAGCCCCATGTAAGTACAGCGAGAAGTGTAAAGTGGGTGTTGATGGTAGTTGTTGTAGCAGGGGTGGGGGAGACGTGAAAAAAAATGAGGGGGCCTGAGAAAAGGAGTGTATCCTCAACGTTGCCTGCCAGCTCCAGAGAGGCAGAGCTAAGACTGTGTAGTGATATGGAGGAGACTTTACCCCATAATGGCATACTTGTATTTCACTCAGTAGCTGGGCAGTGTGTAGATGCTAGCAAAGCCCTGACACAACCAGGATCAGAGTGCCATGCCCCTTGCCTGTACGTATGTACAATTCCATTGTACTTTCAGTGGCGAGCCAGTCAATCACCCTGTAACTGAGCCATATAACTCTCCTATTCATTTCAGTGTGTTGCACTCTGCTCCTGGGTTACAGAAGAAGCATTTGGCTCTCCTTTTTTTCCAGTGGAGATGTTTAGCCTGTAGTAAGGTGCTTCCCTCTGCTTAGAATACTACTTCCTGCTGGCAGCATAACGCATGCATGTCTCAGTAGGACATCTGATGCAAGCCAATAGATAGCTATCTGCATGGATGGGAGAATGAAGCAAAGCACTTGACCATGACATGGGCAACCTGAGTGCTAGGTGCCCCCATCAGCCTTAAGGAGCTTGAACTCATCTTCCTTATGTTCAATGTCCTTAGCCCCCTAAGCTAGGACTACCTTTTGTGCTCCTCTTTTTGAAGCTGGCATACTGGATAACCAAGAGGGAAAAAAAACCATGGGGGGAGGCCACCTTGAAGGAAGGAGTCTTAATTTGTAGCTCAGAGTGACTGCCGCTGCCCTGGAAAAGAGGGGAACTTAGGTCTGCCGCCCCCGCTCCCACAACCTGTGCCTTCTACTCAGTGTTTCTTTAATGTTAAATGAACCATGCAACTGGGTGTATGTGTAGAGTCATGGTACATGGATTGCATTTCAGAACACAGGCAGGTTTTGGCCTTCCTCAATACAAGTGGGAGGGGACTGGCTTACAGTGCACAGCGGGATCTGAAAACAATCCTTAGTAGCACCTATCCTTAGTGTTCCTATGCCACCCTGCTGGGTAGGCTGGATGTGGTGAGGTGTAATAGGGGATTTCAGGAGAGATTGGAGACTAAAAAGATTAAGTTGGTCCCCCTAAGGCAAGGTAAGCTAAAGCAGCAGAGACTGGGCAGTGCTGAGAGGTGTCTGTGTGTGGAATTTCTTTTTCTCTGAAAGGAAAGTCACAGGTTTTTGAGGTTTGCTGCCTCAGAAGATAGCACCCCCCTCCCCCCACTTCCCCTTTGGGCAGCACTGGCACACCCCGCTCCCTGTTAGGAAGTCTGGGTCATGTCTTTCACATGGCTTCTCCTGCATAAAATAGTACTGTAATAAGGACAGCCCCTAAAGTAGGGGTTGGCAGTGTTTTGGGGCAGTGCCAAAAGCACTCCAACCTCAACTTGTAAGATGTTGGTGGGCCAAGGGCAGACAGTGGGGGAACTGCAAGGGGCCCATTCTTTGTTGGGGCAGTGCAGCCCTAGCCTTTTCCCCACAACCCACCCAGGAGTGCACTTGCACCCACAGCCAGCAACAAGTCAGGCTGAGGCTCTGCAGACCTCTGTGCAACTGCTTGCAGCCTCCGTGTCACCTTCTGCAAGCAGCCTGGGCTCCATGGCTGGCTCATTGCTGGGCCAGCTGTGGCAGGCAGCTGGGAGGCTGCAAGCCACTGCACCAAAGTCTGCAGAGCCCCAGGCTGGCTCATTGCTGACAGCAGGTGGACACATGCCTTGGGGTGGATGGCAGGCATGCTGCGAGGGACCCACCTTTTTCATGGCTACATTACATTCATGGGTCATAGCTAGACACTTAGGACTTTCTCCTCTTCTGTTGTTTCCAAGTGACAAGCCCCAGGTTACAGCAAAAAAATTCTTATTAGCTCTTACATGCACGACTGCCTGTTGTACTATTTTCATCCATTTCTATTACTTCAGTCCTTAACATCATCAAATTATTCCTGTATAACACTCCAGTCCTCTTTCATATTGATTCTGCCTCCCAATTTCTGTCATAATCAAGTTGCATTAGTTATTCCTACCTTTTAATGCCACTGTCACTAATGAAAATATACAATAAGATTAGTTCCTAAAACTGACCCTTGAAAATCTCCAGTAGTAACCTCCCTCCTTTCAGTACACCCCCTATTGTTTCTCCATTAAACAACTCCTTACCTACCTTATACTTCTATTAATCCCCAATCTTCCCTAGTTTAATTATTTCCCTACCTGGCACCACATCAAATGCTTTACCAAGTAGATCAGACCTATTGTACTTCCCTTGTTTTAAAATGAACGCACAAAAACAGTTGTCTTTCTAAGCAAAAAATATCAGGTTAATATAACATGTTTATCTTTAAGCATTAACATATATAGTAGTCATTGGGTCAGGAAGGGAAAAAAGTGACAGTATCTCTAGAAGTTGGTTGTTAGCACACTGAACAGGAAAAGCCAGGTTTCAAGGTATGTTATAACATAAAATCTGTATTATACAAACAGCTGCAACAAAAGAGACATAGGCTCAACCTTGAATATCCTACAGACCAGTGGAGAAGCAAGTCTCCTGGAAGATGGGAAGATCTAGTTTCAACTCCCTGCTCTTAATGAGACAAAGAAAGGATCTGAAACTAGTCTCTCTCACTCCATTGCTTAATTAGATACAAGGGTGGGGACACCTCACTATCATTGCTTTTTGGAGGTAGGGTTAAGGTATGCTCTGAACTCATCTATTTGATAAGGGCCCAGAGGCTAAATTGTTGGAAGAACGTCTAGCTTGTGAATCCCATTGGAGTTTAGGTATGAGCTAGGTGTCTAGCTCTTAGGTGGTTGTGTTTCTGTGCATACCCTACAGTGACACCTTAAGTGCTAAGGGCCTTAGGTGCCCAAAGGGACAGGAGCAGGGTTCTATGAATGCCAGTTACCAGATTCCTAAATGGAAATTAGACATCTAGGTTCTCCTTGTAAATCTAACCCTAAATATAAACTCAAATATTTATTGAGCATGCAAAACGTTACAGCAGAAGCAGCTGGCCTCTAATAAGCTCCAACGTGGAAATACTCATCTTGTACACCAAAATAATGTAAACCTCAGAAAATGTGTAGAAGAAAATTAATCATTTCCATTCCCCTGCATTTAAAACACATTAACATAGAAATAAGCCACACAACATACATTTTTTGCAGGTTTATTTTTTTCAAGCTGCTGTTGCAGGATGCAATTTTCAGTGCTTTTTTTAAAAGGAAGCCTTTAGTCTTCCTGAAGAAAACATCAGTGGTATATTTGCTTTTAAAAAACTTCGGTGTAGCAAACAAAAGCAACATTTTTTACATATAGATTTCAAAAAGTGCAGAGGTATTTATAAGAAGAAAACATTGAAGCCATTCCTTCTTTCCTGTTCATCAGTTAGATTACCACTAAATTCAGTTCCATTCTATTAGTGCATTATCTTTCAGCCTTGGGGGTGCTATTGGGAGTAAGAAGGCAGAGGAACCAGCCGGTTTCCAGAACTGATGGACAACAGTAGGGGAGGAAAGGGCAGCGTTTGGACAGCTGCACAGGCTGACACTGGTCCCCTGGCTAAGTACAGACAGTCAAAAAGCCTGAGGCTGAATCAATTCAATCTTCGCAGGTTAGTCTACACCAGGGGTGGCACAAAATGCAGCCCAGGGGCCGGATGCGGCCCGCCAGGCCATTCTATCCGGCCTGCAGGGCCCCTAAAAAATGTAGTAAATTCATATTTAGCTGCCCTGGGCTGCCCATCATGTGACCCTCGATGGCTTGCCAAAACTCAGTAAGTGGCCCTCTGCCCAAAATAATTGCCCACCCTTGGTATAAACTGTAGATTGAACAAATAAGCATGTGAACAGACACTCATTTAGTTTTGATTCCAGAAATGCAGCCACATGCCTGCAATGGCATAGGTCTGATCCCAGGGGATGCTAGAGCATGCCTCCCTGCTTGGCTGAAGCAGACAGCTTGGACCAACCCACCCGGAGAGGGAGGTTTGCAGGAAAGGTGCAACATATCCTGGGATGCTGGGGGACTGAGAGTTGATTTGAATCTGGAGGGGATCTGGGACAGAAGTTGAATAAATTATTTATCAATTAAGTCTGATACATCCCTCCAGGTTTATCTTAAAACAGTTTTGGCCATTTTGAAAGCAGTTATGTGCACTGAACTTCTGTTGTGTTACAGATTTGAACTGGTTTTCAATTACTTATTTGGCTTATGTGTAATTTCTGTCCCTCGCTCCTGAGGCCAGTGGGAGAACTACCTGACTAATGTCCTGGATGGATATTTTCAAAAGGTTTTAAGTGATGGGACAATGAGAGGAAAGAGAAGATAAATCTAAGACCAGAATAACAAATCAGTATGTCCTGGATTTAAACCTCTAGGCCTGCAGTATCTTGAGGTCCTTATACCACACTGCCTGTATATTTTAAAACTTTCAGGCCCACTGAAGTGGAAAAAGTAATCTATAGTAAACACACACAGGAGCTTTTCCAAGTGATATTTCTGGCAGCTTTATATTTACATCCCAAATGCTCTCGCTGACCCCAAAAGTAGAACTAAATGCCACTGAGCTCTAAAAATAAAAAGCAAAATATACTTGCTAGTATTTCAACATATCAGAACAGCCTTCCATTCTGCAAGTGGAAACACTGGTTTTGGTTGGTTTGTTTGGGTTTTTTGTTTGTTTGGGTTGGGTTTTTTTTGGCGGGGGAGGGGGGGGGAGTGGCTTTTTGTTGGGGGAGGTGGGGGTTAAAAACCTTTCCCAACTAACTGTTACACTGATTCCAGGTCCAGAGAGAGACATTTGGCAGATACAAAAACATTTTCAGCTTAAAATAAAGGCATTTCAAAATTACACAGGAATTGATTTACAAGTGCACGAATACATCTAAAGCTATTACATAATTTCTCACATACAACATACACACCTCCACCAAAATCAGCCCCTAACACTGGAGTGCATGTATTAAGCAGGGAAGCCAATTTTTCTGCCTAGGAGAGAAGACCTCTGCTTCTCAAGAGTGCAGCAGCTGTGGTATTAGTGTTCAGGCAGCTGAAGGAATAAATTGACTTAATGGTTTACTGTTCTCCACTCCATAAGTATTAATGATGTCTCTCCTTTTTAATGGTCTTGATGTTCCACTAATCAAGCTAAACTTTCTTAGGGAAATTTTGCTGTCTGTCAGCTGCTCCTGATCTCTCTCCTCCTATTTCACAGCCTAAGCAGGAACAGGAGGGTAAATCAGATTAAAATTATATGTCCCTGTTCATGCAGCCATAACTCTGGAGCTGTTTTTTAATTCATTCTCCCTTTCAAAAACATGGTGTGTATTATAGTTTAGGGCATGTTATATGCAGGAAAATATGGTGCATCTATCATACTGCCTTGAAACGTACAAAAATATTGTTGCCTATTTTCTTTACATCAACATTCTCTTTTAATAAGATGTATATTTAAATATATGGAGGTTTGCATCTGGTTATTACTTTGATACACAAATATAAATGATTTAGATGAGGAGAATGATTAAGCATAATAAATTACTTACTGGAACTCCTTAACTAGACTTTTTCTTGTCTTATGAATAGGCTTATAAGACAATACACACTATGTTTTCCTTTCAATTGAGGTCTGTCCTTTTGGTAACAAAACTCCCGTGTTCTAAGCATATGCTTTATGTTTAAACACAAAACCGTCCTCAGGTATTTAATTAATTAGCAAAGTGCTTAATGGCAATAAAATGTTAGTAAGTATCATACTGCATAATAGTTCCTTGTTATGTATGTTGATGTCAAATGATTTTTGGCACTTTATGATGCGTGTTGTTTTTAAAAAAAAAACATTAACTAGCCCTAATAGGCAAAAAGCAAAAAATGATATAATTTACGCATCCAACTACTTAGAAGGTGCTCAGCAGAATCAGATAGGTAGTTTTATAAATGGCATCATTTGTGTCTTGGACTGTAGGCACAACCATTAATGGGCCCATAACTGAAGGCCAAATTGAATCCTTTACAAAAATAAAATCAAGGTCAATCTGTTATATTCAGTTATTGTCTGATAACGCTTTGGGTTCTATATACAATGCCTTCTGATCTAATACGCTCAAGTACTGGTCCATAGATGTTCTTCGTTAATGGAATTACCATGCCCTTGGCATCAATTTCACCTGAAATATAAATAAAGAAAATATTACAGAGAAATGTACAAGTATCAAGCTCAGCTGACTAATTAGTACTGATACTCTGCAGAGGTGGAAGAAAAGTCAAGACCGACAGAAATAGGAACTTGTCATATGTACCTTCATAAACATTTTGAATGGATTCAACAAAAATACGCAGAAGTCTTTTAAAACAAAAGTGAAAAGGCAGATGATTAGATTTCTGCTTAGCCAGTAAAGAAGCAGAGACCCACAATATCCACAGGTCTAAACGATTTACCAATGAGTCATTTTTTTCATTAAATATGGCTACTGGAAGAGAGAATGTGCTTATCTACATATAAGGCTAATTGGTTAATATTATTCCAAATGTGAATTTTAATTGATTCTGATGGTGGGTAGTAGAGCATCTAACTTATTGAAATACTGCAAGGTAGAATCTCTTTCTGAACGCAGCAGTAGGAGTTAATTTACCATGTCAAAGACCTCTGAGAACAGTGGTACCCAACCTTTTCAGCCCACAGGCCAAGATGAGTGGTCCCAGGTCCATCCATGGGTCAGATCCCATCTGTGGGGCCCAACACAGCTTCATGAGGCCAGGCCACTTCATTGAACTTGTGTCAGGCCCTGGCTCAATCCAGCCATGTGGGAGTGGGGTCTGATTCCTCTGTGCAGGGACTGACCCAGCCAGAACTGATCTAGCCCTGTAGGGCTTGGAAATTGGGCAGCAGGGGAGCAGTGGCAATTAAGTCCTACCACCCCCGCCCCACCTAGCCCAGCAAACTTCTGGATCCATGGGAAGACCCATGGGCCAGATTACATGGCTCTGTAGGCCAGATCTAGCCCATGGGTCAGGGTTTGAGCACCCCGTGCTAGCAAAATAATCAGCAATCTTTAAGAATAGTTAGAATTTGACAAGTGAGCTGAAAGCTCAGCATGCAGGATGGAAGACAGATATAAAAGTCAACCAAAAACAAACTGAATAGCTAGAATTCTGTTTTAGTTGTGCAACTAGAGATAATGAAGTAGGG